GGCTGGGGGGGTGCGGCAAGCTCCCACAGGCAGCAGCGGCATTGGTGGCAGTGGGAGCATGGTGGTAGCAAGTGGTGAGCTCCCACAGGTGGCCACGGCGCTGGCGGTGGTGGGGAGGGGACCACCAACAGACACTGCCAGCAGTGGCCAGCGGCGATCAAGGACCAATTACAGACACTGTCAGCAGCGAGGGAGGGGTGGCGAGTGGTGACCACCCACAGGCGCTGCCAGTGGTGTTGGTGGCACCTTTTTGCAGGGAGTGTACCACCAAGCTCAGGAGGTGTGCATGCACCCCCTGCGAATCACCAGTGCTATGTGCTGTGTAAGTTGAGAACATTTCTTAATCTTAACCCTAAGCTGTTCAGCCATAAATGAGTGCCTGTTGTTACAACTGTAAATATTGACCCTGTCGCATTTAATAACCACAGTTTTTACAAGACCAGAGAAACTGTCACCTTCTGAGGATGCCACAATGACATAACCAGTAATAACTAAGCATTCTCCCATAGCGATGGTCGCTGGCTGTATGTTAAACAAAGGGGTAAAATAGCATGTAGTACTATAACTAAAACGTAAAACAAAAAATTGATGCTATGAATAGAAAGTAGGGGGAACAGAAGGAATCATCTATTCTAAGAGAATCTCATACCCCAAATACATAACTAGTTGAAGGATTAATTCAGACCCAAATCAAGGTCCTGTGTGTTACTAAGCTTAAACTAGCTTGTATACTTCATGTAGTAATTATTAGCTGGATAGAACTAAATATATGTTCAGGTCTCCTAGAAAAAAAAAATATATAGCTTGATTTTTCTTGATTATTAAGGCTATGTACAAATGTTCAGTTTTTCCTGAGAGTCACCCTCCCAGGAGAAAAGAAAACATGTACAGACATTTAGTATTTTTTTCCCAGAGCAAACATGGCCATTCTGGGAGAAAAATATCTTGAGAGCAACCTGAGTCAGATGGTTCCCAGGAGAATATCTCTTGGAAGACAGAATGGCTGTACAGGTAACTGTCTGCAGAGTGGTCCTCTGGAACCTCAGGAAGCCTTTCTCCATGCCCTTCCTGACCCTGCAAGCCAGGCAGCCAAGGAGACCAGTGTCAATCCCAGCTAATCAGGGTGCAGAACATGCCCCCTGAATGCTTCAAGCTTGCTGGGAAAGCCCAGGTTAGAATACCGGTGTTAACTAGCCATGCTATGTATCCTGTGGATTACATATAATACTATTTTTTATCATACCAAGCAATTCAGTAAACTGAAGAAATAGAGCATTCTGACTGAATGATTATTGATGATCAGGTCAGAATATACAGAGATTAAATTTCTTCCAATTGACAATTTTAGATGGAAAAGCATTGTTTTTAATATTTATCTCTCAAACAGTGGGTGTTTTTCATGGCACTTGGTTGCTGTGCAGCCCTTCTAAGTGGGGTGCCTCTTTTTGTACCACTAGGTATGCAAACACCCACACATTGTTCCCAAGATAAACCCAACGATTTCAAATAGGAAACCATAATGTTAAAAACTTTCTGATCTTTGTGGATTCTTTGTGATAGAAAAATTGTTCTATTTTTCTGTATTCAGAAGAAAAAAAAACGTAACACTAGTTTTTGAAGTGGGATGCCATTAAATTGAGAAAAGAAATGGAGGGGTGCCTTGAGTCTAAAACAGTTGAGAACAACTGCTCTGAGTTATTAAGGAATTTTTTTTTTTTTAATTTTTTAGAAGGTACAGTTAAATCATCGGGAAACTTTCATGTAACTCGTGTCAGGTGAACCTGCCAGCTGAAACTTTATAAAATGTGGTGCTTATGAGCAAGAGTTGCAAATTTAGACTGCAGTATTAAAACTGAAGACAAGATCAGAAGGTAAATCTATACAGTTCTTATTAGGTTATGTTTACAGAGGAAGATGTGAAATTCTACCTCGCAGAACTGGCCCTTGCTTTGGATCATCTACACAGCTTGGGAATTGTATACAGGGACCTGAAGCCAGAAAAGTAAAGTAAAATGTATTTTACCTACTATTATATGCATTTTATTTAATTGTTTTCTCTCATTCTGATGATATTTTCTATAATATAAAAGCTTAATCAATGCTTTTTGTAATATGTATTGTTTTTAATAGTTAAAATATATCCATGCTTTAAATGTAAAATAGTTTGATTAAAATTGGAAATTAGTTGACTTACAAATAGTTAATATTTATGTTTAAATTGCTTTATGTAAATATTCATGTTATGTCTATTGGTGAATGTGAATTTTAATTTTCAGCATTTTGCTTGATGAAGCAGGACATATCAAGTTAACAGGTAGGAAAAACTTATTAGTATAGCTCATTAATATTTGTGCAAAAGCTTACAATGTGGTAAAGATATTGTAGCCAGGGTTGTCTTGTATAGTGGCTGGTGTATGGTGATTTTAAAAGGTGTGTTAGTGTGATTTTTATTTCTTATACATCTTGGCAAGGCTTTTTTTTATAGTGCAACTAACATAGACCCAGATTGCTCAATCTGGTATGCCTTTGCAGAATACCACCGACATTGGGATGACTACATGAATGAGTACTGAGGACTGCTCGCATAAATCATATTGCAGATTCAGCAATAATACGGCTGTAAAGATTGAAACGGTCATGCTTAAAATAGCTATAGTTGTTAGTTGTATATTTTTTTTAAATACCTTTTGCATTTTTAAAAACAAGTTTAACTTAGAAGCCATTTGATTAGTAAGTAATAGTGGCCTATATTAAGGCTGACTGTAAAATGTCTTTTTATCTGAAGATCAAGAGTAAAGGAGATGATTGATCGAAACAGGAATTGCAGTATGCTGAGCCTTTTAGGATAGGAAAGGAAATGCTGTTGGTATAAAAGATGTTGGTGCTGACAACAAGGCACCTAAAGCATTCTTTAAAAAAATCTAAGAGTATATTAAAAATGTAATTTCTAGCAGTTCTGAGTTATCTGCCTAATGGCAGAAAACCATGGTTTTAGAAAATTTAATTTAAAAAATATGAAGCTAGAATACATATACATATTGGCAATTAAACCGGTTTTTAATAGGGCATGCTGTAAATATTTAGTAAGTACAAAACATTGTGAACATTTACTTGTACATTTTATTACCGTATTCAGATTATAATTAAGGAGGTAACTGTATGTTATAAAATTCACTATCTGCTTTGTTGTGTAAATATTAACAGTCATTAGACCTGATTTGCAAGCTTAAAAAGAGATTTAAACTCATCCATTTAGTGCAATTTACATGCACAATAGATTTTCTTGTAAAAAAAAAAAAATAAAAAAAAAATCCTTGCTGTTGCATCTCTTAGCCAAATGGATTTTGCATAAACCACAGAGTTACCTGATATTTATTATTTAAAAGTACAACAGGATGTGTTCTTGCTTCAGGGTGCAAAGGCTCTTAAACAGCCCAAGGGATTTAATTCCCTATATACAATGTCATTGATGATGAATTTTCAGTTCTCTTGCATTTCTTCAGCTTCTGAGTTGCTTTTTTTTCTGCCTTCTGTTTCTCTTAAGCAAAAATTCAAAACTAATATAAATAATTCAGAATAACTTGCTTTTTCCAGGTCATATTCAGAAACATTGGCTCTTTGGGGCCTTCACTACCCAGGAATGATTAACAGAAGAGCAGGGAGGAGGGCAGGCTGGGTTAAAGTTTTTTGTTTTTTCTTTATTTTGTTGGATAAATCAGTACTTTAATCCCTTTCAATTTCTGTTGAAGGGGGAATAAGAAAGTCTTGTAGTTATTTGAGGCAGGGGTCAAATAACTACTTTTCCATCAGCATTTGATTGTTGCTTTTATGGCAGCCCTGAGTCAGAATTTCAGAATTTGTTTCTCCTTCAAATGAAAAGAAAATGGGGAGGAGCAGTTAATAATATAAATAAGCATTTTTTGAATAATGTGTATACATCTGGAGTAAAGGAAGAAAGAAACAGGGAGGAGAGAAGATGCTTCAGAAGCTGAGAGATTTGATATGATAGCCACGCAGGCTATACAGTACAATCGCATCTTATGCAGGGGTTACTTTCCGAAGTCAGAGTGTATAGTTGAAATCTCCGGGTTTGGCACCAAGTAGCCGCTGCAGGGCCCGTGCGTGCAGTGCAACAGCTGCGCCTTCCACACATACTCCTCGCCCCTCTCATCCTCTGCCGCCTCGTCCTGCCAGGGCAGCCAGCTGAGCGTGAGCCCCCCAGCCATGCTGGCATGTGCAGGCAGTACCACGTGGCGCCACGCTACGCGCTGTGCCCCGGCTGGCACCTGGCGGCCAGCACCAGCAGTCGAGCATGTGTAGCTGAAGTCGCGTAAGTTAAATACGCGTAAGATGCGACAGTACTGTATCTGTGAATCTAGATTGAATCAGGGGCTGATTTCTGAAGTGTATATTTTATAATTGCATATGAAGCAAAAATATATCCTGTTTTTCCTCTGTTTGTCAGTTCTTACACTTCTTTTCTGATTGAATCTTTGTACTGCCAGTAACTAGTGCAAAAAACTAGTGTAAATATTGCAATTTAAAGGTACGTGAAAAAGAAGCTCACACAGTGTCCATTAAAGTGCCTGATAATGTACAACTAATTAGAATTAAACCTATTGAAGGCCAAATTGAGCTTTCTTCACATTGCTTTGTCAGTGAACTTATATGTTGACCTGTAGCCTTCTATCATCGGAATCAAGGGTGTGCAGACAGGCATTTAAAAGATTTAATTCTGTAGGTCTGCGCATCCAAAAGTAGTGCTGACTTTTTCATTTCTGACTTAATACTAATAAGTGTTAACTTTGTTGCTCCCAGTCATGTCTCCCATGTAAACATAATAGCGGCCTCTCTTGAAAGACTGTTTCAGTATAGGTAGGCACCTACACTCTTTGTGATTTTGCGGTTTCTGTGAACACCAGGAAAAATGGCTGTTTCCACAAACACTGCAAAAAACGATTTTGCACTGAATCACGGGGGGTGGGGGAGCACTTGCTGAAAATAAATGCTGGCTTCTCAGTGGGAGCCAGTGGCCACTGTGGTCTGGCTTTGCAGCCTGCTAAATGTGTGTGCAGGGGGTGCCCACTCCTCCCTCTGCCATTGATTGGCTGAGAGGGCTGTCTTTCATGTGATCCTACCCCTTTCCACCAATCAGCATCAAGGGGCAGGGCCACATGAATGGCAGCCCCCTCCACCAATCAGTAGTGGGGGGTGGGCCACATGAAAGGCAGCCTGTGAAAATGGCGGCCAGTGCCATGGTCAGCCCATGAAATTGCCTGTCTGCCGCCTTGATTTTGGTAGGTCCCTAAGTATGGGTGCTGAGAACTTAACTGAGTTGCTCTCATTCCTTAGGCCTTTCCTTCAGTTAGAGAGTTGTTTGGTATAGAGGGTTGAGCTTGCATTCTTTTGCCCAAGTTGTACCAAAGTTGCAGATAAATAGTAATCTTGAGTTTGGGGTCTATAAGTCCATCTTTTTTATAAGTGCATGATTCCTGAGAGAGTAAGTTTTAAATTATCAAGTTCATCATCAGATATGAAGCTGAATTGTATATAAAGGTGAGTGTAATGAAAAATATAAGGTCTAATGTTGAACATTGTACACACATCATCAACAATGGCTACAAATGGAGTAGAGTTATACCCAGACTACAGTTTTTATGTGCAGGTGAATACTCAGGTGTAGGTTATTGCATGTGCAGATGTGCTTGGATAATTTACATGGGCATTTTTGCACTTGCATATAACCTACTCTTTGCAAATTTGCTTTCATCATCTAATATCATTGCACACTAGGGCTATAATAACACTGCTTTCAAATTGAATGTGCTCTGAGGTGTCTAGGTATTAGGAGAAATATAGTATTTTTCTCTGTAGCCACAGACTTTCATACTTTTATTACATTACCTTATGTCTGATTTCAATACTTCTAGCCTACTTGACCAAAAATAATTCTTGTACATGCTACATTTGCTAGTTTGCGTAAGAGCTTAGGGCTACATTTCCCAAAGAGATCTGGAGCCTCCATTATCATAATAAAAGTATAAAAATTGTATTTTTGGGGAAAGAAGAGTATCATATTCGTTGAGAACCCAAAAGAGACATAAGGTGTTCTGAAAATCTGTCTTTTGATATTTTTTTCTTTCCTACCATAAAGGTACTTCTGTTAAGAAGCTCATGCTAAAGTTGGGCTCATATCAAGAATTGGATAAAATAATTTTCTTCTAGCTTGATTCAGTCATTTAAATCTCAGCTGTCAACTCACTTTTTAAACTATCTGGTTTAAATGAAGCCCCTATGTTCTTTCATGGCATAGAGCCATCGTATTTTAATTCTTGTTATTACTTGCATTATTTTGTTAATTTAAATATTATTGTTTCCTTTAGTGAAACTCACTTGTATCCAGTTTTTCCATTTTATAGCAATTCAGCAGCAAAGTCTCACCAAACAGTACTAGGAAGAAAAGTAGAACTTTTTGGTTTTGTTAAGGTTCTAAATATGTAATATATTAAGCATCTGATTCTAAGTATGAATGTTAGTAGCTTGGGCAATTGAACCTGAATTTCAGTCCACTCTAAAATGTCCTTGGCATCACACAGTAGACTAGTATGAGACAAGTCACTAAAAAATCTATCGTCTACTATCCAGTGAGCTCTAATATAAACATTTTTCTCCTAAACATTATTTTACTATATTTCCAAAATATTATTTAAAAAATTGTTCTTAAACTTTACTAGATGTATTTTTGTAATGCCGTTTGTAGACTTTGGACTCAGCAAAGAATCAGTAGATCAAGAAAAGAAGGCCTACTCTTTCTGTGGTACTGTAGAATACATGGCACCTGAAGTAGTAAACAGGAGAGGCCACAACCAGAGTGCAGATTGGTGGTCATTTGGTGTTCTTATGGTACTGTATATTTAATTGCTTAAACTTGTTTAACAGTCCAAATATATTGCATGTATTTAAAATACATGTTAAATAACTTTGAGTAACCTTGCCTAGACATAATGGGAATTTTTTTGGTCCGAAGGGAAGAACTGAAAGAAGGCAGTAACTGAATTGTTATCAAAGTAGCAATTTTATTTGAATTAAGTTTAACCTAGACTTGTTTAGACCTGTAAGGAATAACAGATTGATAAAAGTTTACATAAATATGATCTCTTATAGTGTTACTTATTTTATTTAGTTTCTTTCAGTTTGGTGTGAACTATATCTTGAGTGTCTTCCCCCTACTACTTATTAGTAAAAGAAAAAATTGAGGGTTTTGCAAAATGCTTGATAAGTGTTTGCCAGAGAGAGCCTGTTTGAATGAACAGCAGTATAATGAAGTGGAAGACGCCAGTAATGCTAATATTTCTGCCTGTGCTTTACAGTAAACTTATTTTATTAGCATAATATTAATATTGAAGTTAAAAAAATATTAAGGCAGTTTACTTTTTAGCACTTTTTGTTTGTGGAAAAATTTTCTTCAGAGGGATTTCCCATAAAACTGGAAATTAAGTAGGTTGTAGATTTGAGTTCCATCACCTATCTTTGTTCTATAAAAGCATCAAGGTGTTTTACATCATTGTCATGTATCAGTATCATCTGCCTGTACTGATTTGTCATAAGTTGCTTCAGAAATGAAAAAAAAATAACTAGTGATCATTTTGCTTATATCTCTGAAGACTTCAAGTCTTCATGTGTTTGGTGTAGTAGTACAATTGGGAATTTATTATTTAAAACGTTGTAAGAGTAATTTAAAAAAACTTGATATTGATTAGGTAAACATTTGTTCTTTTCAGTTTGAAATGCTTACTGGCACACTACCATTTCAAGGTAAAGATCGAAATGAAACTATGAATATGATATTAAAGTAAGTATATATTCTATTTGTGATAAAATATTATTTTTATATTTTAGAAAGTCAAAATATATAGCTGTAATACATTTTGGTTTAGGTATTGTAACTTGTTTTCAGCATGTGAAACAAAAAAAGTAAAGATGTGATCCCAAATTATAGAGATTCTAAAGAATATCTCCATAATTTCAAACTAGAGGAATAAACCACTATATTTATTGCGTTTGATAAAAAACAGTAAAGCACAGAAGGAATTTTATGAATTGCCATTGTTCCCAGCCCATCTTATTGGCACAGTGTGACTTATTTTATGTAAAATTGGTGTGTGTATGTTACTCTAGGGAGAGGAGGTGGTGGTGGTATTTGCAGTAAGACAATGGGAGTGTATTTGGTACCTGTAAACAATAAAGTTCCCTACCAAATCCTGATGTCCTTGTTTGAGGGAGAGGAGACCTATTGCCCTTTTATAAGGGTGTGTACATACATCTGGGGAGCATAAAATGATTTAAAACTGGTCACCCAATCTAAGATAAGTGTGGGGGGAGGGAGCACTGGGAGAGAGGATTGGTGGGGGCCAGCAGTGTCTGCAAGGAGATCAAGGAGACAGGCAGAGTTGGTGAATTGAGGGCAGGCAGGGTCTGTGGGGGCTTGGTGGGGTCCCTGAGGGTTTGGCAGGACCCAGGGGGCTTGCAGGCTCTATGGGGAAGCTCTCTTTCCCCATCTCCAGATGAACAACGCCCCCATACTTGCTGCCTCTACCACCACCCCACCTTGCTTGGCTCTTGACACTGCCAAATCAGTATCGGAAGTGGCTTGCAGGATGGGGGGGTTGGCAGGTTTGGGGAGAGGGAGTCTGGCTGGTCCCCAGTGGGGAGGCTGTCTGTTTGGGGGTAGTGGGGAAGGGACCAGGGGGCTAAAAATAGCCCTATGCCAGGGAGGGTGTAGAAAAAGCACAGTCCTAAGGCTAGGGCTGGGGCCAGTGCCTGGGCTTTCCCAGCCCTGGAGCTGCACTGGTAACTGGACAGAAGTTCAGGATAGTTGGATTGGTCTAAAAATGGCTGACCCGATTTGCATACCTCAGCAGTTGGGTTAACTTAAATTGGCTCAGCCATTTTTAGACTGATCTAACTGTCCTGAACTTCTGTACAGTTCACACTTAGATGGATCCTATCAATGTAAGGTCTGCAACTGGGTGAACTAATTTTAGATTTGGTGGCCACTTTTAATGCGCTCTAACCTCCCTGAATATATGTGCCTAGCTTAAGTGGCTAAACAGGGAATTTCCTCTAGCTCAAATGGTAAAAACCTAGACCTTGGAGGAATGTTAAAAGAAAGAGGTCTTGTTCTGGCTGCCTGAAAAAGGGAAATGATTGATTTTTATAGTCTTAGTTTTGCATACAAGTTTCAAGCTTCTTGAAAAACACTTATTGAAATAATTTAAATTGCTCAAAATTTAGTAATTGTGTCTGTGAAATTCACCACCTTGGTGCCATTACATTAGCAGATAAAATCATTACTGAATCTTTCTCTTGGAAGAAAAGATAAATCAGGTGACCTGGGTTACGAGTGTATCTTCAGGTTCATTGTGGCTGTTACAAAATAAAAGGGATCCTATTTTGTAATACATCAATATATCTGGAAAGATCTTTAGAGATCTTAACTGCTTTTCTCACCTGGAGCCTTAAATCTGCCTTCACTTCAAGCAGCATATTTCTATCATGTTTTTTCTTTTTTTCCTACCATTCTTGTAGAATGGCTTGATGATAATATCTATCTGCTTTGGTTGGTCTGTAAGGTGAAAATCCACCCTGCCTTCTATTCAGATAACATGCAGGGAAAGATGTAATTGAGACATCTAAATCCACAGCTTGAGATCAAACTTTCCTGCTCTCTTTCTTTTTTTGCTCCAGAGCAAAACTTGGAATGCCTCAGTTCCTTAGCCCTGAAGCTCAAAGTCTTTTAAGGATGTTGTTTAAAAGGAACCCATCAAATAGATTAGGTAAGTTTGTTTTGCCTACAACTTTGTTGAAAGTACAAATAATATGTGAAACTTAATTGTGGACCTAAACTTAAAATGAATAACCATGTCAGACTTCAGTTTTGTCACACGTAGTTGCCCAGAGTAGCATGAATATCCTGGATTTGGATCATCTGGGCCGGGGTGGGCAAAATGTGGCCCGCAGACTGGATGTGGCCCACCAGGCCATTCTGTCCGGCCTGCAGGGCCCCAAAAAAACTTAGAAAATTAATATTTTTCTGCCCCTGTCTGCCTGTCATGCAGCCCTCAGTGGCTTGCCAAAACTCAGTAAGTGGCCCTCCACCTAAAATAATTGCCCGACCCTGATCTAGGCAAATCTTAGAGGGAGGCTGGCTAAAGATGAAACTCTTGGAAAAATCAGTGATTTCTATAAATCCTGAATGTAGCATTCTACATAGACTAAGTTAACTGTCTCAGTTCAAGCAGGCGCAGATAAACTGCTATCTATAAAGATAGCGTAGGATGTATGGATTTCCTTTTGCAAGGTATTTGTGGGTATAGATGCATGTATATTTGGAGCAGTTTTAAAAGGGGAACATTTCTCAAAAGAGGAATAGCTGTTACTTTCTAATTGTAATATGAGGGCAAGCCAGGAACGATACAAATGCAGCATAATTTAACACTGAATGTACATTCCAAGTGTGTTTGTCCATACCCTGACCATATCAAATAATCTGGATTTTTAGGAATTGGAACCTGGTAAATTTGTGTGATTAGTTTTTCAGTAGTCTGCGCACCAGTATTTTACTACATAGTCAGCTACATTTTCTCATCAGCGTAACCCATGCTGTTAGTCTGGCAATATCAACAGACTATCATTCCAGGAAAGAAGCATCCCTGGGACCCTGTATAAATGCATCTTACTCTGGCTCCATCTGTATGCCTCTCTATAGCTTAATATGGCTTCCCATTTTCCTGTTTTTGCTACTAGCTCTCCAGAGGCACAGCACAGTAGCCTATCATACTATCCAAATGGCTAGTAAAGTGATGTAAAACAGTCATAAAGTGCCAAAAACCAGGGGTAGTATGGAAAAAAAATATATCAATATATTCCCCAATTGCTTTTTTGGGAATTTAGCACTAGATTAACTGTTCAATTAGTGACTTGCAGACGAGCATTCTTGATTCTTTGTTTGCTGTTTTTATGTGCCTTGCAAACAGGCCATTTTTACATATCATACTAAAGCTGAACCAAGCCATTTCACCTTTTGAAAAGGGAATTTGAAAAGTGACATTCAATTCCAGTACATTCTTTTTCAGCTTATGCATTTAATTATTTTGTTTCTCTGGGAAACTGTCCATGTTTAAGTTGATTCCACGCAAACATTTTAAAAAGGGGGACTAAGTTTTAATGCAATCTTGTTTAGAGCTTTTGCCCTACAGCAAATTGTAAATTCAGCTCTTTTGTTTTCTGTTAATGTCAGGAGCTGGTTCAGATGGAGTTGAAGAAATCAAGAGACATCCTTTTTTTTCAACTGTTGACTGGAATGTAAGTGCAAACCATCCTGAATTGAAAATCCTTTTCAGTTTTGCTGTGTTTTGCAACATATCTTTCTATTTGCAGCAAATTAAGCAGGGCACGCTAGACAGCACATATTGCTGCTGACCATTGTATTTGAAGACTACATTACTCAGCACAATAGTGTTGAAGCTCTTGGTCAAATAAAATATGCACTAACATTGGAAATGGTGATTTGAATTGCAGCATACTAGAGTTTTAAAAAGCCAAAGAGAACCTCTTCAGTGAGAGAGAAAAGTTTGTCTGTTCTCAGGCAATGTGTCAGAGCAAATCTTGCAGTATGTGCTCATGTTTTGTGTGCAAGTGATCAAATTATTTTGAGTAGCGGTGTTTGTCAGGGCTACAGATGTGCTGCCTCATTCTCCTGTGCATTGGAATAAAGGATCATCATGGACAAAACCCTTTTTCAGTTTCCCTTAGCTGCCTGTAGCAATGAAATGGAACCAAGAAAGCCACTCACACATTACATCTTTTGAGTTCCAACTAATCTTTTTCCCCATTAGTGTGATGAAAAGCAGCTATCTCTAGCCTGCTTATTCCTCAGCATTTGTTCTTTCATTTTGATGCTGCAATACAGGTCTGCTGTAAGCAGCATAGACTCTAGCCCATCAGAGTTCAAACTGTTCATTCTATGAAGTTTAATTTCTCTGTTCATACCATGGAAGCCCTAATAGTCAGGAGGATGAAGCTCCAATATGTATAAATGTATCTTAGACAACTGTATCTTCCAGAGCTAAGGCCAACAGAAAGAAATTGGCCTCTTGACTTTTAGCATCTATGATATCCAAATAGGTATATGTTGTTATCATCCAGGACCTGCTCTTTGAAGGGCTGGAACTCTTTGATTAAAGAACTGAGGTACTCTGCTCCTTCAAAGAAAGAATTGACCCCTGGAAAAACAAAGTCTGTTCTTGATTTGAATCTGGAGGGGATCTGGGACAGAAGTTCAATAAATCTCTTTAACCTAAATCATTTAAGGCTGATACTGTATCAGTCTAGACTTACCTGAAACTGGTTTTGGCCATTTTGAAAGCAGTTTATGTGCACTGAATTTCTGTTGTGTTCCAGATTTGAACCAGTTGCTGGTCACTTATACTCGTTTTATGGGAAGCTTCTGTTACTAGACCTGGTGTACTGAGATCATCGCTTATCATACTGATCAGTACTGTAATATGGTTTCTTCACGCTTTCCAGCGTGTAACCATCGGTTACTTTTTGTTCAGCGCTTAGTATGGTTATGTTTCTGGTCTCCGGGGCTCCAAAATCCTGTGGTAATAGAAATAGTAATTATCAGAGAAACTATTCTATTTTTATAAGTGTACCTAGTAAGAATAGGGACAAATGCTGGGTCCTTCATGTGGGTAGAAAGAACCCTCACGATATCTATATGATGGGTGGTGGTCCACTGGCTGGCATTGCATCCAAAAGGAACCTAGTGGTGACAATCAACCAGAAGATGAATATGAGCCACCAGTGTGATGAAGTCGCTAACAGAGCAAATAGAATGCTGGCGCGCATCAGCAGATGTGTTGCCAACAGATCCAGAGAGGTGCTCCTCCCCCTCTATTTGGCATTGGTGAGGCCACAGGAGTACTGCATCCAGTTCTGGGCACCACACTTCAAGGATGTGGACAAGCTGAAAAGGATGTGGAGAAGGGCCGCCTCCATGATCAAGGGCCTGGGGTACATGGTCTATGAGGAGAGACTTTGGGATCTGGGACTGTTCAGCCTGAGCAGAAGAAGGTTGAGAGGTGACTTGATAACTGCCTACAGATATGTCAAGGGAGAACACCAGGACCTAGGTGAACAACTTTTCAGAAAAGCCCCCACCACCACCTCAGGAAGAGGTAGACCAAGTTTCAGCTGGGCATAAGGAAAAACTTCTTTTCTGTACGGGTAACTAGAATCTGGAACATACTTCCAGCAGAGGTGGTGCTGTCGCCATCTCTAGCGGTCTTTAAGAGGAGGCTGGACAAATACCTTGTTGAGCTCGTTTCAGCCCAATTACTTCCAGTCCTTCTTTCTATGATTCTGTGATAATAGTGATATGTAGCAAGTGGCTTTTTTAATTGCGTGGGGCTGAGATTTCAAAGATGCCATCTAGAAAATTTCTGTATTTTCTCAAATACAACATGCTCCAGAATATAATATTCTCCTTATTTTTGAAGAGCAGACCAACGAGAAAATATCCTGTAGTAAGCAACTGAGTTAGCAGCAGCTAAGGAGCCAAGCTTGCTTATTTTTTGTGATCCCTGTGGATTGCTGAAGATTTTCACTTTGTTTCAGCTGCTAAGTGGAAGAACCTGCTCTTACCACATTTCTGAAGTACAAATGCACACTCCACTTTACAGCAGCAAGTGTTTGGGGGCAAAGGGGTGTGCTCTATACAATAATTTGAAATTTTGTTGGCTAGTTTCACAGTTTTTTTAAAGTTTGTTCAATATTTACTTGCATATCACATGCACTCTGTTCCCAACAATTAACCCTCCAAAATTGGGGTGGGTGTCCTGAGGAAAGAAGCCAATTTCTGGACTGGAATAGAAGGATAGAGACACTGTAATGACAGGTGAGGAGTCTGCTTCTCTCCAGCCGTCATTTAGCAGGGGCTGAGTCCAGTTTTAACCTTCTCACAGTTGCTGCCAAATTGGCAGTAGCTTTTGGCTGAGCAGCCCACCATGACTGAACAAAAATTCAGCCTTTCCATAACAAGGTGTTTCTAAAGGCAGAGGAGATAGGAGGGGAAAAATGTGTATATGTTGCATTTTGACAGTACCTTGTATATAATCAGTTAGGTTTTTGAGACTGGTCAGTTTCTCTTCTTTTTGCATGAACTGCTGCGATGTTAGCTTGCATTCTTTTCAGGTCTTACATCTTTGGAACTGGGATGAGCAAGGAAAATGACTAAAGAGAACAAGGATGTCTAATGGGTAGTAGCTAGGGAGTCCTGCACTTCCTTGACATTTGCATGGAGTTTTGATGTACATCGGTCAGGGTGGGAAGGCTAAAGGAGCCTTCTGTTCCTCTTTCCAAATTTGAAAGTCTAAATTAGGGGTCCCTAGCACTTATGGGACCCTGTAAAGAGGCCCCTTGTTCTCTATTTCTCATCTACAGAACCTAAGAAAGATTGGGAGGAATGGCTGTAGTAGTGTCAGTAACCTGTATTCTTGTTAAATGACTCCTATTTGTTCTTCCAGAAACTGTTCAGAAGAGAAATTCAGCCTCCATTTAAACCTGCTTCTGGAAAACCAGAAGATACCTTTTGTTTTGATCCAGAATTCACAGCAAAAACACCAAAAGGTAATATTTCTTAAGTTATGAAACAGTAAGGGGAACTCCTCTTATGAAGAGGGCTGGATCTCATGATATCTTTGGTCTGCAGATAGAAAATTAGAGCCATTGATGATGTGTAGGGAGTTTGTGTAAAGACTCAAGACAGGATACGTACAAACCAGACTTCTGCATGTTAAAAATTAGCAGCCGTTTGTTGTCACTTAGCCAATAGTATATGTCGTCATTTATTTCTCACTTTTTCTTCCCTCTTTTTTTGCATCTGGTTTCTTTTTTGGGCTATGTCTATTTCTACCTGGCTCTGCTGGCAGAACATTTGGCAGCAGAAAGCAGCCATCTCCTCCAAGCAGCTGGAACATGCAAACCCACTTGTCTCTGGGCTGCCAGCGACTCCACTTAGCAACTGTACTGGCAGAGCAGGAATTGGAAGTGAAATAGCTTTTCTGGGAGCAAGGAAAGTTCTTCTGCTGTAGAGGAGTTTCAATATGGGTACATTCAAAATTTTGTCAGGGGAGATGGGAGTTCTTCTGGCAAAACTTTGTTGTATAGATGGGCTCCAGAGAAAAAAATACTTAAGCGGGCATCGTTTTCTCCCATTTCCCACCTTCTAGCAACTGAAGGATAAAATGGTGGAAGAAAACAGCTTTTTGCAAACCTCTTCTAACTGGGCGAGAGGGGAGCGGAACCCAGCATTATTTCCAAATATTTGGAAATAGTTTGGTTCAGTTAACTTCTCAGTGTGCATACTGTTTCTTTTGCCAGCTAAACTTGAGCTTATCTTTGAGACAGCAGATTTTTTATTAGAAGGAAGGTGTTTTGGGAGACTGATACAGTCTACTATCACATCATTTTTTGGAGCATTTCAGATATATTTGGATAAGCATTTTTCTCAGACTCATCTTGAAACACCTTTTAAAACTTAACACACAGTACAGCCCCTTAATAAAGACTTGTAAACATTCAATAACTATGTTCATTTCAGGCTTTCCTTTGTTAATCCCCCTTTTACTAGTGCCTCTGAACTTTAAATATCTAGTTTATTAGCTACCTTAAGTATAATCAACAATTTGTATTCCAACATAACTCATAAGCTTACAGATATAGAACTCTAGGTCAAATGTGGTATTTATTGAAGGTTTTTAAGTATCTGTTGTCGTCTTACATGTCTGTACTTCTGTCATCCACACTTGTATGGCACAGCCTTTGAAATGACTAGGTAGCAGAACCCTTGTATGCACCTTTTTTCACATAATGTACTTGAACTTTCGACTATGAATGAAGCCCATGGCAGCTATTTACATTTCTTGTCCATAAATAAGTTTTAGGAAGTTTTTAATTTATTCATGTTTGTACAGTATCTTGAAGCTTTGTAAGTAAATAGATACTTAGTTCCTTTGTATGTGATATTGTTGAGAGAATTTAAGTGAAAGGTGACAGATTTGTACTCCTGCTACATCCAGTAGTTTAGAACCATTCTACTTTCTTGTATTATCTGTAAAATACTTGAGGACATACCTGTGTAAATATAAAGAATAGCTTAGGTCGCATCTACTTTAATTCTAATCAAACATATTTTTAAAAATCAGATTCTCCAGGAGTTCCACCTAGTGCTAATGCACATCAGCTCTTCAAAGGATTTAGCTTTGTGGCAACTACTACTACAGTAGAAGATCATAAGATCTCACCCCTCACCAATATATTGCCAATAGTACAGGTAAAATTTAATTTTGTTCTAGATACTTTTAATTGAAATGTCAAAAGCTGTTTACATTTTAATATTAGACTTCTCTCTTCTCTGTCGTAAGTATCCTTATAATAAGTATTAAAGGAGTTTGCCCCCAAAATCCCATTCGATGTCATGTTAAATTTTCAAAAGACATTTTAATAAGCTGTAAACAAGTTAAACTGTTTTAGAGAGTGTGAATGTTTTTGTTAAGAACAAATAGTTTCATAGTTGGTAGGGTTAGAAGCGATCTGAGCAGATCATTAAGTCCGACCCCCTGCCATGGGCAGGAAAGAGTACTGAGGTGAAACGAGCCAGGCAGGG